TTCAGATGAGATGGAAAACAAAGGCCTTGATCACTTATGGTGCTTAAAGAGCCTGTGGCAAATTTGGCAACCATCGGGGTACTAATTACCTAAGAGAGAGTATCCAGGATGCTTAACGATCTGATTCTGATCTCATGTACACAAGCGTAACTCGGGACTAGCTCCATTGAAATCCATGGAGTTACACCAAGGTGGAAAAGAGAGAGGAATCAGGCCTTAGAAATCTAACCTTTTCCTGCACTGCTGGGAAGTCCATGTGTCTGATTTTCATTTACCTCAAGATCCCTTTTCTCTGAGTGTTGTGAGTGTAACTGAGAATCAGGCCCATTGAGTGCAACAGCAGAAGCTTACAGTATAATCTATCACTACTACTATTTGGTATATTTCTTTTGGTAATACACCTCTACCCCAATAGAACGCGACCCGATACAATACGAATTCGGATATAACGCGCTAAAGCAGCGCTCCGGGCGGGGCGGGGCTGTGCACTCCGGCGGATCAAAGCAAGTTCAATATAACGCGGTTTCACCTATAACACGGTAAGATTTTTTGCCTCCCGAGGACCGCGTTATATCAGGGTAGAGGTGTACTTTTATACTTCGCAAGCCAATAAGGCCATTGGACCTGATTTTCAGATACACAAAAGCTCCTTTACATCACACTGGCAGTGTAAAGGCGCCTTAAGGCTTGTCTACATGAACATTTAGTTTGTGGCAAGCTGGAGTGTGAGTCTTACCCGGCACTATCCTGCTGCACACTAATTGTCCATGTGGACTTTGCTGATGCACACTAACGGTTCCCTGGTGTGCTTTGATCTATTCCCATTTCAAAGCAGGGTCGATCGAAGCACACTGAGGAACTGATAGTGTGCTTCAGCAGGGGCCAGGTGGACACTTAATGCAACACCCCAGCTTGCTGCAAACTAAATGTTCATGTAAATACACGCTGAATCTAAATGAGAGTCAGGCCCATTGACATTGAAATCCATTGTGATTTTTAAGCTCTTGTTCTCCTGCATGCTATTTGATATGCAAACCAGATACTTGGTGCTAAAACCTTACTAAAATCCTGATCCTGAAGCACTAAAATCAGAGGACAGTTTTGCAATGACTTCATTGATGTAGGATTTTGTCCTAAGTTAGGTGCCTCTTTGTGATTATTGGCATCCTAAATGAGCAACATATTGAGGAACTGAAGCTGTCTGATAAATATTCAAAACCAAACCCCTGCTCTAATCATATCAGAATATCAATCCATCTGCCAACCTCTGGTATCTTGTCTCTTTCATTGTTTGACACTAGTGCTGACACCTAGTGCTTCAGCAGAAGGTAAAATCTCCCAATAATGCATTTAGGGCCTGATGGCAAAAGAAAGAGTCCGACTGAATTCAATGGGATTGGATCAGTCCCTTAGCCTGCTTGGCCCCACCTCCCGAATCATAAGATTTGATTGTCCGTCCCCTAGCTTGCATAACTACAGACAGTGATATTGCTGGCCATACTATTATACAGATCTTTTTAAAACCAACCCTAATAATTTACCAATATCAGGGAACTCCACAAGATGACTTTACAGCATAAAGAAATATTTGTCTTTATTTGTGTGAAACATACTTGTGTACTAATAAGGCTATTGTAAGGGTAAGTTCATATTTGCGCTGCTCTTTCATAAATGTGACATACTATGTTAGTGCTAAGTATTCTTCATTAAAACAGTTTTGCTATTACACCTCTACCCTGATATAACGCTGTCCTCGGGAGCCAAAAAAAATCTTACTGCATTATAGGTGAAACCACGTTATATCGAACTTCCTTTGATCCGCCGGAGTGCACAGCCCCTCTCCTCCCCCTCCCCTCCGGAGCACTGCTTTACCACGTTATATCTGAATCCCTGTTATATCGGGTCGTGTTATATTGGGGTAGAGGTGTACTACCATTTAATTCCAGCATCCTTCTGTTTTTCATATTATGTGATAGTTAAAAAAGAGGGAAACTGATATCCCCCTCCCCCCCCCCCCCACTGTTGTTCAGAATCTGACAAATGTAATTTACTATAGGGATAAATTTAAAATGAAAACTGGATATTTTCCCCACTTTTTAAGCAGAGGTTGAAACGTGTTTGCTACATTAAAATCAGTGACTGTTTAGGTGTATTTGTAACACTCTTAAAATAAAACAGAGCCATTTAAATACTATTAATTTGGGTTACTTAGTTTTTTTTTCTTTTTTGAACGTTGTGTTCTATAAATTTTTCACAGATCCAGAGACAGTTTGGGTCAATTAAACCAGTGTAAATCAACAGTGATTCATTTGGGCCCTATTCTCCTGGCACTTGCACATGTTTCACACAAGTGTAAATTTAATTGACTTCAGTACACAATGATTTGCTCTTATTTACAGAATGTGTAAGTTGGAGGAGAAGCATGCCCTCCATCCCAGAATTTACTCTGTGTAACCTACAAAGCAGCAGAAACGTATGTGGCCGGACACCAAACTCCTAGAGGGAAATGTGTCACCCTGTAGACCAGAATCAACAGTGATAAAAAGATGGTGCAAGTTACTTGTAATTAGATCAGAAAAGAGGTATAATTTGTCAAGTTTTAAGAACGAGTTCCTCACATACGGAGAGGCCCAAAGAGAACGCTGTGATAAGAAAAGCCGCCAACAAGGAGGTTGTAGATAAGTGATCCCATTCCCTCTACCGATCCTACACCCACTTTATCTTGAACCCTTCTATTGCTTTTCTTGCTACGTCCCCCTCCTCTCTTGTCCCTAATTACATCCCTTTTCCTGTGACTGCCAAATTGGTTTAAGTTACAATTACATCCATTCCCTGACCAATTTACACCCCCTCTTACTTCATTGCTGAATTTGGCACCAGGACTTCTATGGGAGTTGCACCTGCTGACTATAGTTCTAAGAGTGTAACTGAAGAATAGACCTCTGGGAATAATCCTGCACTGGCAGAGAGTTGCACAAGATGATGTAATGGATCTATACCTCCAGCTATTTTGTGTCACTCTAGTGCCGCAAAGCAGTTGCAAAACCCTGCGTAACCGGCCAGATCAACGAGATTCACAGCAATTTTACCCCACCAGGCTATGCCAGTGAATCTGGCCCCAAATATCTTTTCTGTCTCTTGTTTGCATGATTCTTACCATCTGATGCTGTTAACCTCCCTTTTTAAGCAGCCGAAACTCTAACCTGCAGACTCTGTAGGCTTGTTTCTGTATCACAGTCATGGTTGTAAATAAGAAGCGGCTCTAGTGGAGTCAAGGGGGTTAAACTGCTGTCAAAATGTAAGTGAGATCAGGATCAGACTCTAGAAGGGTGATTCTCCTTTTGTGTAATTCAGGAGTAACTCCCCTCAAGTCATTGGAATTGCGCAGTGTAAAACTGCTGCCAGAAAAAAATGGGGTTTTCCAGCTGTGCGTGATGTTCTGAGCCTGAGAAAGTCCAGTGAGCCTGATTCTCCTCAGACCTCCACCACTTTGACTTTACTGGAGTTACTCCTCAGTTATATCAGGGCTAGTGAGTGGAGGATCTGACCCAAAGATTATTTCAACCTGTTAAAGATTGTGGCCCAGATCCTCAGCTGGTGTGAATCAGCATAACTCCATTGAAGTCAATAGAGGTACACCAATTTACATCAGCTGAGGATTTTATCCTTGTGTGTCTCCTCATTTCTGTTCCAGTGACGCTCTAGTAACATCAAGCCCCCGCGTATAGCGTTTTCTTAGTCATTGTCATTGTTAGCAAGGACACAGCTATGGACTTTGCCACATTATGCCCCAGTGTCTGAGCAGGAACTGACCAGCATCAGCATAGCATGTGTATTTCATGAGAGTGTTTCAATGTGCAGTGGTCCTGATGAGAATCCAGCATCAAATTGCCCCTTCCTGTTTCGTTTTTTGCAAGAGGAGCAGATTTAAAATGGCTGCTGGCCCCCGGAAGAGGAAGGAAAAGTTTTCTCCTGTAGAACTTGAGATTTTGGTGGCGGAGGTGACCAAAAACCACGCTAGGCTCTATGGGAGTGAGAGAGTCAACCTGAGCCAGCCAGAAAGGGAGAAGATATGGTGCAGCATTGCCAGGAAGATCAATGCTGTTGCCAGGTCCCCCCGGACCACCCGAGACCTCCGGAGGAGATGGGATGATATGAAGAGGCGCACCAAGGAGAAGCTGGTGGAGATGAGTCGCTCAACGGGGGAGCCCAGACCTGATACTGTGCTGGTGCGGATTTTGGAAAGTCCTTTGCTTGGGCAGGAGGAGGCTATTAAAGAGGCTGAGGCCAGAGTGGTGGCAGAGGAGGAGGATGGTGGTGGTGGTGATGATGTGATGCACACTGATGGCCCTCACATAACTCTGGAGCTTCAGTCAGGTAAAGAGTCCTAAACAAAACCATTCATCCCATCCACATACATCAACAGACTGGGGAAAGCTGTGGGAACAGGGGAGGGTGAGGAGCCTTTCTCTATAAGGTTATCTTTGGTGGCTGTGAAGTGATCTCCACTGCAAAGTTAGATTGCAACAGCCAACCTTATGGCAAGAGAGGACTCTGCAAATGAAATCTCAGATCCAAATAGGCAGAATCTCTCACACAACAGCTTTTGATCCTGGAGTCTTACGTTTCACCCCCATCCTTTAGGACAGGGATGCCTCCTTGTACAGGAGCTTGGAGTTACTCAAAGGAATTCACCCTGCAGAGCAGGAAATCTTCTATGGGACATGAGGAAATTTAACATCCCAGGACCTTATCACCTAATATTTCAGATGAAACAATTACATGAGAGAGAGAGAGAGAGATCCCTCTGGTTCACAAATACAAAGAATGAGACCTATTGAGACATTCACATGCACACAGTCAAACTAATGCCCCTTTCCTAAGCTCATATGCACACCCACACAGCAGACATCGTTCCTTTAGCATATTAACCAAAGAGGCTGCTTTCTATGTTGCTAACGTGTAAAGAACTCATGTTTTGATATTTTGATCCCCCACAGATGAGGAGGAGGAAGTGCCTGGTTGCACATGGGTGCCTTTGAGGACTATTGAAATGCCTATGCCAGCTGAGACAGATGCGTTAGAGCAGCGGGGGGCACTGCACACCTCAGTTTCCTCTCCCTCCCCACCTTCCTCCCCACAGATGCAGCAGCGGGCTACCTATGGGAGGCGGTCATCCCAGACTGCCCGGCATCCTAAGCGGAAGTACAACGTCTCAGAGTTTGAGAAGCAGCTGATGGATGCCCATCTCCAGCAAAGCACCCTCTTGTCCTCCTGGTACCAGCAGCAGAGCTCCCTCATGATCCAGCAGAACCTCATCTTGGAGAACTTAGTGGAACAGAACAAGAGGCTGGCAGACAATGTCGAGTCACTCAACCGGACGCTGGAGAAGCTGGTCGACTACCAGCAGCCACGCAGGGAGACAGTACATTTTGTGCAAGACTGCACCTCTGGGACTTCTGCCCGTCTGCCCTCCCGGATAGCCAGTGGCGAGTCTGTGGGGCAGTCAGGGATCGAGGTGTTCTCGGGAATGATCTTGAAAGTCGAAGAGGAGATCTAAACAGAAACACAGACTCTTCTCAAAAACCATTTTCAGAGTTTTTAAAGACAATTCTCTAAAACAAACACTTTTTATGATGGGTAAAAAATTCCTCGTGTTTTGTAGGTCACGGTAAATGCTACAGTAGCTCTTTTTTTAGTGGGTCAAGATTCTTGGGTATATTATACATATAGCCTTTTTTGGTTGCCCAATATGGGACAGGATATCATTCTTTTTTATAACCAGCAGCGCTGTCCATTTATGAGAAACAATTTTGTATCGGTTCTTTTTATTGTGAAAGATATTTTTCTTACATAAATCCAAAACATATAAAAATAAACTCTGTTCATATTTATCTTTACTCTTAAGAGTCTGTCCCCCGTGGATATTATTCTTTTCCAGAAACATTTTTAGGAACAGGTTTAAAAAAAAAATAAAAGAAATCATTGCCAAGGCTGTAGAACGTGAGAGCCTGATCCTGCTTCCATTGATGTCAAAGAGAAATTTGTCATTGACATTGATGGGAGCAGGATGGAGTTCTTATCGCTATTTGGATTATGTTTGCTGATTTAATAATAATGGTGAGAGCTCTTTTATGAGCAAATAAGACAGTTTGTTTTCTAAGTATAAGCATACGGAATTCCATTCATTCTCCCTTCAGTCTATCCTGACTCTCTCACTAGCTTTGTGTTTGAAAGACACACGATGTATGAATGAATGGGACATTTAGGACTGTAGGAATATAATACTCAATAATACAGTTCAACATTGCCAGCTTGCACTGATTTTATCACGAATCTCATAATATTTGTGTTTTTCCTGAAAGCCTCAACTCTTGGGGAATACATAAGCATCTGAGTTTTCCTTTTAAAAACCCTAAATGTCTAGTCCACACGGTTTTAGAGAAAAGACTGAAAAAATAATGTGGCTCCAGAGAAAGAGAACCCTTGAGGTCGGCAGTACCGCATTCCAAATCCGACTCAAGGTCCATGTTGTCCAGCAGCCTGTCTCCAATGGAGACTAGCACCAGCTGTTTTCTAGGAAGGTGCAAGAAACCCCACAGTGGGGATAACCTGCCCCCCATGGAGGTCTCATCCTGATCCCTAATATTTAGAGAATGGCTTATGCCACAAAGCCTGCAGTTTAATATCCCTTCCAAGCCTTTTTGTTTGCATTAAGTATTATAACTGTGGATATTCTTGTTATCCAGATAAATATCCAATCCCTCTTCGAATCTTGCTACGTTTTTGGCCTCAACAACATCATATGACACAAGCTAATTATATGTTGCTTGAAAAAGTATTTCCCTTTATTGGTTTTGAGTTTGCCGCCTTTCAGTTTCATTGGACAGTCCCCTGTTTTTATGTTTGAATTGGTTTCCTTCCTTTCCAGTGCATAATCCATTGTGAAAGTGTGAAACTTCTAGGGCACACCAAATCAGTTTATTAAGAATAATGCCACTCTCTGCCCATGCAAAGGGTAAGTGGATCTGAAATCTCCATTGAAGAAATAGCCAAATAAATTCTTGGTAAGAATTAACACAGTTCAATTACCAGAATCTTGCCAGAATCCCAGGGTTTTTTTTTCATCTACTGCAAAGAGTTAAATAAAAAACAAATGGTGCTTGGCTATAGAGCCTATATCCCAACCCTTCTATTGACCTCAAAATCCACTTTAACATTTGCAAATCAGAGGCAGTTATTTGAAATAGCTTGATGCTTGGAAGGATTCACCTTCACTGAATGACTTTGGCTACATTGTGGCCTTATACACGGTTACACTCAGCCAGCTTTAAACCACTCTAACAGTATAAAGGGGCCTTAAAGTAAGCATAAATATAATATACACCCACTTTAAGGTCTGTTTTTGCTGTCAGAGTCGTGTAAAGGGTCCTTAGTGTCAAAGACAAGCACCCCTGTGTCTTTTATTCCCTCTTGCTGTAAAGATTATACCATTTTCTGTGGCATAAGCATCTTTCAGATAGCACTATAAAGTATTTTCTTTCCTTTCCCGCCCTTCCCTTATATTCATAAAACACCCAGTGAACGAAGTAAGTTCCCTCAGAGTGTAATATACTTTAACGTCAGTGCACAAAAATGAAGTTTACATATTATAATTATCTTTTGATAGAAAAAGCTGGAGGTTTGCATTTATTTTTACGTTTGTAACATATTAAACAGCAAGCACTTAAGATGTATATAAATGTAATGAATGTGTTTGTGACGATCTTCGATTTCTGACCGTGCCCTTCTTCCCCAAGGATCACAAAGCATTTTACAAATTGCTCTGTAAATTGGACATACAGATCATTTCTACCAGCACTGAAATGGCATCCCTCTTGGAGGTGAAACGCAGCAACTGTTTCAGGGGAGGTCTCCCACTGGCTGTAATGATGGTCAGATCAGGCTCTATTAGCACACAACACCACTAGAAAACAGTTTAGTAAAGGAAGAAAAGAATCCAGTTGAGCCAGCAGAGGGATTGACATTGACGGAATGTAGTTACCCATGCTGCAGTGAGCCCAAACAGTGGTATGTCCAACAACACAGTGCCCCGGTGGCTGCTACAGAAGACTGCCTTTTCCTGTTTCTTTCTGAAGTGTTTAGATGTGCCTTAGAAATCTCCCATTCACGTACCCACAGGCCCCAACCCTGTTTGGCATGTGAGATCACAGTGCAGCGTGGGACGTAAAGTACAGGCCATATTCAGACTATGTCACAAGCAAATAATTATCTCATGAAAAAACTTTGTAGCCAGAAGATGTTCTGCTTTGGCTAAATTTTTCAAGCTTAGGTAGTTACAGTTAGGGACCTAAAGCCATATTTAGGACTGGCCTGATTTTCAGATATGCTGAGCACCTACATCATCCATTGGCTTTTGGTGGGAGCTGCAGTTGATCAGAACCTCTGGAAATCATTTTGCTGCAGCCAAGCATTTTGTTTTGTCTCCCTGCCCTGCTGGGCCCTGCCTTCACCTGTCTCTCATTCCCCAGCTTTCTCCACAAAGGGGAGTGGATTGGATTACTGTGCAAGCCCCCTGCACTCTTCCATAGAGCCAAGCATCCGGGGTTTGGTTAGCCAGGCTTGTAGCTGTGGAACTGTGGAGCAGCCAGAAAGCTAAGCCGGCGAGGCATGCTGCCTGGAGAACAGTGGAGCAGCTGAGGCCCGGACAGCCAGCGCAAAGAAATGCTGACGTTTTGTTGGAATACATAGGGGAGGGTTAGGAAACTTCATGCTGGACTAGATCATGGGATCAGGGCCTGGAGAGGGGAGCCTGGCTGCCTGGAGAGTACAGTAGGGAGGGAAAACCCCTCCTCAAACTAAATCACTGTGGAAAATAATCAACACATTTTACATCAATGAACATTTTCAACTATGAGCAGCCAGCCATAGGTGTGTGGGGTAATGTGAAGGTACAGGGATGGAAAGGAAGGGTATTATGTGACAACAGGATAAAGTAATGTTGCAGGGAACTTAGAGGTTATTGCTCCAGCAGTTAGTCCCATTCTACCCCAGAGTGTATGGGGCCATGGGTGATGGTAATAATAATATCTCACGGGCTTTAATTCATTAACATTTGTAAAGTATTTGGGGAAATTCATGCCTGAGTATTGCAGTGATTGATGCTTTATAGGTACCTTGATAGATTGTTAATGCAAATATATGTAAACCCAGCCACAACGCTAGCAGTGTTGCCAGTTCTCGTGGTTTTATCTTGAGCCTCGTGATATCCAGATATTTTCTTAAATCCCCAGCTTCTGGAGTCACAGGATTACATGAGAATCTCAGCTTTCATTTTAAACAAAAAAGGAAGTTTCTAGTCCTTATCATTGAAGAGAAAAACTTGAAACCATGACCTAAGTGCTCTCTCTACATTTCAAAAAATGGAAGGCAAATTAAAAGAAACCATATTTTATTACTCTGAAAAATATCCTATCATTATTAAGCCAATTGCATTCTATTGTGCCTACAAACATGGAAACCTTTATATTGGCCTTGATACGTGTGTTGATTTGAGAATTTTATTCAATGCCCACTATTTTATCACACAGATGTAAAGTTCATTTTCTTGCAGTATGACAACTGCATTTCATTCACTCCTTGGGTTCTTTGCAGGATGGAAGGACTTCTCAAACCTGTACTGACCTGTAGATTCTCATAGTGTTGTTGCTGATGCTTATTCAACAAGGAGACTGCTGAGTTGGTAGCCTAGAGAAGTTTCTTTATCACTGTCATTCAGGAAACCTGGATTTGATTCATCCGCCTCTCATTTTCCACAAACCAACAAGGGATGTGGAGTCAGCCCAGGGCATTAAGAGAATGTAATATCTTGTGACATGCAGGAATGATTCCTCTTCTGCGGATGACTGGGTGACATTAAATAATGAACTCCAGAGACAGAGGAATGGCAACCAAGATGCAGTCTCTCTAAGGGTCTATAAGATGAAGAACAGAGGTAAATCAGCAGATCATTCAGAGTTCCAAGCCACACGGAGAACATATTTCTTTGCCCACCTGGAAATAGGTGTATTGTTGAACATTTAGCCACATCCTGTTTCCTGGAGCAGATTGAATTCTGGGTCCTGCGATAAGGAGAGGGCTTAGTTGCAGCTGTGAGTCAGTCGCACGTGGTAATGTAGCACAGCTGCCTCGGTTGTCCGAAAGATCAAGGACTCAGAAGTGAGAGGAAAAGGCCATCCAGGGCAGGCTGCGTGATTGGACTGTCTGAGTCAGGCTGAGGAACAGTTTACCCATAGGACACTTGTGCGGTTGGGGGAGAGGGAAAACAATGGTGGCTCTGTCTACCGTACAGATTTAATTCACTTCCTCCTTAATTTTTCCTGGACACTAAGTTTTGAAACACTTTTGGGGATGCAACATAGATGAGAATAGTGCCATAAAGCCAAATTTAGTTGCACTGCTGTGAATTTGGAGTAACTTCAGTGGCGTTATACCAGAAACCTCTTGGTGTCACTGAGAGCAGAATCTGGACCACAGTCTAGCCCTGGAGCTTCTTGTCCAGGGGAGCATCTCTCGCTTCCTCATCAGTTTCGTGCTTTGGCCTTGCTGAATGGAGAAGTAATGAAATGCCTGCAGTGCCTGCCTGGCTCAGAGGTATCGTATTGCATGGCACCCACGTGCATGGATAAACGTCACCATATGCTTGCAGTGGCTGCCAGAAATTAACTACTCCTGCCACATCAATCCACAGTCTCATTCGGCAACACTGCCTACAGAGAGAGAGAGAGAGAGCATCAGTTTTTTACTTCACTCTGGCGTCCCTTGCATTTTAGCATCGAAAACTAATCAGAACTGAACA